TTCGCTTCGCTTCGCTCGCTCACGCGTTAAAATATCTCGATAATTAATCGCCTTCATTAATAGACTTGTTGGTTAAATAACTATTAATTGATTTCATTTAACTTCATTTCGTTACAGGTAAACCGGAAGTTAGAAGAAAATGATCGAAAAGTATCAAAAACACTTTGAGGTTATAAAATGTAAGTAATTTTTTATTTTAATTGAAATTCGATATTAAATTCAATTATTTTAAACAAATTTATTTATTTCAAAATCATATTATGTATGATTTCTTTATTTTAATGATTTATTTGTTTATAAATTAAATTTATTTTTGATTATGCAACCAACATTACACTAAGTTCAATTTATTTCCGCGAGTGGCGCTGATAAAAAAATTGTAAGCAAATAAAATTGTTATTGTTCTTTAAATTAAAGTTTTGCGCGATAGTTAATAATTAATTAACTTCAATTGATTTCATTTAACTTAATTTCGTTACAGGTGAACCGGAAGTTAGAAGAAAATGATCGAAAAGTATCAAAAACACTTTGAGGTTATAACATGTAAGTAATTTTTTATTTTAATTGAAATTCGATGTTAAATTTTTTTATTTTAAACAAATTTATTTTTTTAAAAATCATATTTTGTATGATTTCTTTATTTTTAATGATTTATTTGTTTATAAATTAAATTTATTTTTGGTTATGCAACCAACATTACATTTGATTTAATTAAATTCCGCGAGTGGCGCTTATAAAAGCCATTGTAATTAAATAAAATTATTGTTGTTGCTTAAACTAAAGTTTCAGGTCATAATTATTAGTTAATTAACATTAATTTAACTCATTCTCATTACAAGTGAACCGGAAGTTAGAAGAAAATGATCGAAAAGTATCAAAAACACTTTGAGGTTATAAAAAGTAATTTTTTTATTTTAATTGAAATTCGATATTAAATTTATTTATTTTAAACAAATTTATTTATTTTAAAATCATATTATGTATGATTTCTTTATTTTTAATGTTTTATTTGTTTATAAATTAAATTTATTTTTGGTTATGCAACCAACATTACACTGAGTTCAATTAAATTCCGCGAGTGCCGCTTATAAAAAACCGTTGTAATCAAATAAAATTATTGTTGTTGCTTAAATTAAAGTTTTGGGTCATAATTATTAGTTAATTAACATTAATTGATTTAATTTAATTCGTTTTCGTTACAGGTGAACCAGAAGTTAGAAGAAAATGATCGAAAAGTATCAAAAACAATTTGAGGTTATAACATGTAAGTAATTTTTTATTTTAATTGAAATTCTATGTTAAATTTATTTGATTTAAACAAATTTATTTATTTCAAAATCATATTATGTATGATTTCTTTATTTTAATGATTTATTTGTTTATAAATTAAATTTATTTTTGGTTATGCAACCAACATTACATTAAGTTCAATCAAATTCTGCGAGTGGCGCTTATAAAAAACCGTTGTAACCAAATAAAATTATTGTTGTTGCTTAAACCAAAGTTTCGGGTCAGAATTATTAGTTAATTAACATTAATTGATTTAATTTAACTCATTCTCGTTACAAGTGAACCGGAAGTTAGAAGAAAATGATCGAAAAGTATCAAAAACACTTTGAGGTTATAAAAAGTAAGTAATGTTAAATTTATTTATTTTAAACAAATTTATTTATTTTAAAATATCATTATATATGATTTCTTTATTTTAATGATTTATTTGTTTATAAATTAAATTTATTTTTGATTATGCAACCAACATTGCATTTGGTTCAATTAAATTCCGCGAGTGGCGCTTATAAAAAGGGCTTTTAAACAAATAAAATTATTGTTGTTAACAAATTAATTAACATTAATTGATTTAATTTAACTCATTTTCATTACAGGCGAAAATACTTAATAANTATTGTTGTTGCTTAAACCAAAGTTTCGGGTCAGAATTATTAGTTAATTAACATTAATTGATTTAATTTAACTCATTCTCGTTACAAGTGAACCGGAAGGTAGAAGAAAATGATCGAAAAGTATCAAAAACACTTTGAGGTTATAAAAAGTAAGTAATGTTAAATTTATTTATTTTAAACAAATTTATTTATTTTAAAATATCATTATATATGATTTCTTTATTTTAATGATTTATTTGTTTATAAATTAAATTTATTTTTGATTATGCAACCAACATTGCATTTGGTTCAATTAAATTCCGCGAGTGGCGCTTATAAAAAGGGCTTTTAAACAAATAAAATTATTGTTGTTAACAAATTAATTAACATTAATTGATTTAATTTAACTCATTTTCATTACAGGCGAAAATACTTAATAAAGAGATTTTA